TATGAACCTGTCATTTCTAGCCTACCTGAACTATTTAATAAATGGAAACCATAACATGGGTTACGCTCCCCCTAAGCGGGCCCTCCGCATCCTATCTCTGTCTTATCTCAAATACCAAATGCCAATGGTTTGGAAGTATCAATATATAAATTGGAAATGACAAACCCATACCCCACTCACTTGGCCAGGCTTCAGAATCGTCCAGTGGGCAGTGCACTCTAAACTCCAAAAGTTCCTTTTCTTTCAAATTCACCCTAAATTTGATATTTTATTATGTTGATTAATCACAATGAAACATTGTGACAGAGCACGGACTTGAGGTTACTAGAGTATTAAAGAATCTAGGTCCTATTTAGGATTATATCTGAAAAATCCAAATCTTGCCAACGCCCACCTTACATTTGATTGTTATTTTGCTTAATGCAACAAAGTACATCTGATTCACTACCGAAGATATTCGAGGAAAATGTGGAAGGCGAACTAAAATAGCTAGTTGAATTCATAAAAATGTACAAAATTTAACTCTAAAAAGCAACATAACATAAACGGAACACTTCCATTAACAACTACAAGAAGCATGATCACAGAGGCAAGGTGGACGGAACCCGGTAGTGATCTAGAACTCTAAGCATCTTGCTGTTGCTGTGACACTCTCAACCTATCAATTTGAATTCATCGGAGTATTCTGACGGATCCAGATAGACTTTTCCACTTTATAAGATTGTAATTTAATTAGTTAAACGTAATCCTGGTGGAGACGTTCACATTGTCACTACAGACAAGCCACAGACAGCACACGACAGTGGCCACAATTACTCATTCCCAAGGATCATCCATCCATTTCTCCTCTACAGTTGAGATTGATTACATTGCGCAAAAGGAAAGAACTCGCATTCACACGCACGAAAGTGCCCAGGCCCATCGGATTTCAACGAATCCCTAAACGCTGCATTGCCAACTGCCTACATACCAGCATCTAGCTATCGTTTTCAACCTTAATCCTCGCCATCATCAATGCGCTCTCGTAGGCCCGATCGTATTCAGTCATGAATATTCCAGGTCGCGGAATGCGATGTACGTGTCACTTCCGTATCCCGAGTGATTTGCTCCATCGAAGTCCGTTGCAATCCAACTGCCGTCGTTCCTTCTCATTATTGGCAGTGATGCCAGAATTGATGAAAAAATTAGCTTTCCATGTGACGGAACGGTGTTTGAAGTGTGTTTTTGTGGTTGTTAATACAAGGTGGCACCGTGACTTACCTCCTGTGGTGCTACCTATTCTACCTTTTATGTGATACAAAGTCCGCCATGTTTCACGCACAGTCTGACGTTTCCGTATGGATTTTCTCATAGGAGTACAGAGCTACAGAGTCGCCGTCAACGCCAATACGGCGATTCATACTGTATAGTTATCTTCTTCTTCTTATTCAGGTTCGCTCAGCACCCGGAATGAACGCATCATATATATTATATGGTTAGTAATATCAAATAGTGTTATACCCTCGGTTATACCCCGTTCACATTACCGCCTGTATCACGTAATATAGGCTGTCTTGCAATGATCACTCATACATAGGATTTCCAGTGAATATTAGATGTATGAGTGCTCATTGCAAGACAGCGTATATCAAGTGATATAACGGGGTATTATATGCAAACGAAAAAGATACAACCAGGATTAGTTTTTTTTAAAGTTATGGTTTCACCTGAATACCCAACTAACTATATTGTGTCTCAGTGTTTATTTGTTTGTTTGTTATGGTTGCATCAACAGACTAGAAATAGTCCCAATGATGTGTTGTAAAAAAAGTACAGATTATACAGACGACATACATATACTACAGTTACTACAGTTACAAACGAAAATAACTTGGAAAGCATTGTCAAGTTACTAAAAATTAAATTTTACACTTAGCTGTTGGGTATCAAGCGCCTTCGGTCAGCAAAAAAGGCAGAGAATCTTCGGCGAAGCATATTCCGTGTCAAGTGGAAATCGAACATCGACGCTACTCGGTTGAACACTAGCTGCAAGCCGAATGAACGCATCATATGAAACATGAAACATGAAACATAATAAGTGACATCGTGAACCTACATTTAAAGTTATTTTGTTATTATATAGTTACTTGGATACTCACATAAATGTTGTAGCTGTTTTAAGATTGTGGCATGTGGCACTATTCTCCCAGTATTTAGCACTTTGCTGAACTTCCATGAGTAGCATGAGAATGGCGTCCACCAGCTGACTAAAATGACATTGCCGGGAACTATTGTTCAAGCTAACAGGGAAAGTTTAGCACTGAGCTTTCCTGGAATTCACTGCGTTTAAGTTCAAGAGCGAATAGTGTCCATATGCCAACATCGTCGGCTCAGAACTGCTATTCATCGCTTCTATTGGCATTTAACTACAGAAGTAGCATCCAACAGCACAAGGAACATTGCCACGAAGCTTATATGAAGGAGGAACAGAAACGTCATGATGCCATTAAGAAGGGCTACGACTACGATTGTCTCCACCTGCCACCAATCGAATATCTCCGGGTACATGCTGAGCAAGGCCCTGGTACAATAAATCTATAAGCTATCTTCATCAATGCAAAGAGAAGTCTGATTAAGACCACCTCAGATGAAAGCAATGGCATTGCGAATTATTCAGAAAAACTACGACCATAAGTTACAACACCAGCAGTCACCGAGGAGAATCGAAATCTGTCTAAGAGATTACCTGATTAGAAGAGCGCTACAAGCCACACCTTCTATGGCTTATAGGATATCGTGTGAGTAGAATCGTGGACAGGAAATCAAGAAAGAACTTCTATAGTTTTGTTAATTGGCGTATTTTATAAAGTTAAAAGCACAGCTTGAGCTTGAGCTTGATTGACCGCCCACGGTTGCTACTCTGTTACTGCCAGATCAGCTGTAATTACACAGAGAACCAATAGATGATGCTTGGGACTAGCAATCATCCTCAATGTGTAAAAACTGGTGGTCTTAAATTAGGCAATACCAGCGCCGGCCGCGCCCGAACACAGGTCAAGAAAGGAATGGGAAGGATTGTGTTGACATGACACTCGCTTTGATGGAAGCCGAGAACACCTCTGCACTTCCACGAGGAATCACTGGGATGTTGGATAAGAGGGTTGGGTTTGCAGCAGGGTTCGTTTTGGTAAACGATAAGCTGAATTGATGTCTTAACGATCATATAACGCGAAGGAGCTTGGGACTAAACCCACGGTCTTCTGCTCAGTAAGCAAAAACGTTTGCCACTAGGCAGAATAGCACCTTTTTAATCACCGAGTTGCTGTTATTACCATGTAGTCATATTAACAAATAAAACGGTTGACGAATCTTGAATGTGGATGGGCCTGAGATTAGAGTCATGATGTTCTGCTCAGTAAGCAAAAACGGTTGCTCTAAGGCCACCGAGCCCCTCATATCACATAATACCGTTACTCAAATTTGTGTATCCATTCAAACCCGGAACCAACGACAACAACGAGTTTCGCAAAATACACGATACACAAGCGATTTTACCATAAATATCTTTGATATGTAAGGACATGGGACCGCGTTTTTCTGCTCAGTAAGGAGGCCACTGTAACCGACGATCTTTCAAATCCGAAAACTAAAAACTACGAAAAAGTACTTAGGCCTTCATTAAGTTCCACTTTCACGCGACGTTTAATGACAGGGTCCTATCCAGGATTACATCTGAAAAATCCAAATCTGGCCAACGCCCACCCTAAACCTAAATCTGTTCTAATCCACCTGAAATGACTAACGAATGGAAGACTTTGAGTACCCAGCCATGCAATAGTCTCATTCCGTGCCTTATGGCAACTTGATGATTCTATTGCGCTCATCTTTTGGCACCACCTAGGGGAGACTTGGTCCTGTACCCAATGCTTAACTTATCTCCATTCCACTCAGCTACTCGCAATTTATTGCGATATAGTGGGCGGAATATTATTATATGAGACAATTCAATGCAGACGTCTTTCCAAATTTGGCAGATCGACAGGTAATCGGTGAGTTACCACGATAGTTGCTATTCAACAACTCGACAACGTCCCATCGTCAACGCCTACTATGATAATTTCCCATTGCAGACGCCAACAAAATGACGTCATCGAGCTATCGATCAACTACCCTGGTTATCGCCTGGTACCTTATAGCACGATGCTAGGAGGCGAACCGGAAGAATTGATGAGCTACCTCTCCCCCCCCCCCCCGCCTATTTTATAAAGTTAAAAGCACAATTGAGTAATTATTTTTTGGATGTAAGTCTTTGTTTAACTAGTATAACAATGCAAACCTTTTCAATAGTTTACTTGCAGCGAAAAAATTGAGTCCTGCCACAAACCCATTCTGGTCTAAATATCGTACGTATCGTACCACTTCTAGTACATGGTTACACTTCCTTCCAATCTCCTCTCGACATCTCGCTAACTCATTCTTGATGGCGTCTCCGGTCTCGTTCTTCCATGCTCGCGACTAGTTTCGGAACCGCATACCGCCCAACTGATCATTTTTACCAAGCATCAAGGAAATTATGCTGATTGCTGTTGGGTTTATGTTTGTTTCATCCATCAGACATCAGCTGGTCCTGTTGCACGTCGATAGCAGTGAAATGACCCATGGTTGGTTTTCCGTTTCCGACGATTGATGGACAAGATTCATGATCGTTAATTTGGAACCGCGAAGACAACATAACCGAATCGGGTCCAGGGGTTTTCAATCTTACGATAATTTGAGCTGTGGGCAATCTTGTAATATTCATTATAGAATAATGCATTTTAGCAACTAGGATTTATCTGCACTTTTGGTCCACGTCAGCCCTGGCATGTATCTTTCCCGTTTGGTTTAAGTAGATATCCAGAAAAGCCCTGAGACCTGGTAGTTTTCAAGCTACCTCAAGGTTTTGCCAATGCCCAGGGTAACGTTCCAGTTTCACGCGGGACGTTCTTTCAAAATGCAAACAACTATTGACAGTTCTAAACTTTTTACAAAAAAAAATCATTCAAAATTTATTATTTTTAATACTTAATACGTTCAAATTTCGAATAATAGAATGTATTTTGCGATATTAGGAAACATATTAACAAAAGAACGACGTAATGAGACAAATAATCATTGATTTCTAAAATTCAGATCACACAAATAACTTTGCTCAAAAGTCAAACGATGTAAAACTGAGAGAGCTTGCCGTGTTCGTGTACTGGTTGAGTTTAATTTTAGTTGGGTTAGTTGATCTAGGTTTTTTTTTTATTTTCGATTTCGAGCACCTAGCTCAATTTGTGTAAAATTGCTTCGAAAACGTGACAAACTCAACGTACCTATCTATCTAAATTCAACAATGTCCATCAACACAAGAGCCCGAATCGGGTTCGGTTCAAGTGACACAGGCACATGAAAGAACACACACACAATTACCCTTATGATTCCTGGTTACGGGGTATAGGATCCGATCGGCACGGATGTTTTTTGTTAGTGAGAGCTTAGTAAGTAGCAGTAATAAGAGTAGTAATAGTAATTTAAACTCAGTACTTGGGCATCTGGGAGTACCGCGGCGGTGTCCGCCAGACGGCACTCGAGTTTCGCTTGAGCTTGCGTGCATCGATGGAGGGGAAAATCTCCCGCAGGTCCGGCGTCATCGGGGCCACCGAGTAGAACAGATCGATCACGTTCAGATTGATTTCGCGCTGTATCCGGATGGTGTGATTGCGTTCTTCCTCTGTTTGGGAGGGAAAGGAGAAAATCGTAATGAGGGCAATAGGGGAGGGGATGGACGGTGGGTACTTACTGGAACACCACGCCGGCAGCGGGGGACGTTTGGTTTTCTTGTGGGCACTGGTGCTCTCGTCGTCGGTTGAATCGTCTGTTTGGATCATGTCGAAGGTGAAGTAGCTCTTTTCTGCGCCGTTCGATTTTTGCTTTTTCAACTGAAGCTGCTGCTGCTGCTGTAGGACCTGAGCCTGTTGGAGTTTCTGTTGCTGTTGCATCTTCTGCTGGTACATTTGCTTGTGCAGTTTGATTTCGTAGTTTTCCTTGGTTTGGTTGATCTTGAAAAGTTCGGCCTGTTCCCGTTCGAGTCTGTAGGGGGAAATTAATATTTGACATGACAGTAGTAAAATACAGAAACACCTTCCAAACTCACTTGTGCTGCTGTTCCAGCTTAGACAACTCGTCCCGCTTCTGGTCGGCCAGCATCCGCTGGTTCAGCTCCTCCAGGTGCCGCCTCTTCTCGAACTCCTCCATCTTCTTGGCTTTTTTGACCAGATCGGCGCGCAGTTTGTCCTCTTTTTCCTGCACCAGCTTCCGGTGTTTCTCCTCCTTTTCCTTCATCAACCGTTCGGCATTTTCGCGCTTCTCTTTCTCAATCTGCTCCCGCTGTTGCTGGGCCAGCCGTTGCTTCTCTTCACGTTTCTTTTTCTTTTCATCCAGCGCCAGCGATGAGCTGGACGATGCAGACGAGAGGGTTCCCACCCGTTCGATGCTTGGCTCCCGGGAAAGACTCTGCGATTTGGGTAGGTTGGCCGATGCCAGGGTGGGTTTCTTCTGCAGATGTGCCAACTTGGAGGCGGATGAGGAGATTCCCTTGGAAAGTGAGAAACAGTTTTGCGCTGTTGGAGTGGTCTGGGTGGTGCTGACCTTGGCCGACGCTGGGTACCGCTGGGAAGCGAGTGGAGTGGTTGCGGTCTTCGAAGGGAAACGGACCTGTTGGGATGGGGTCGTGTTTTTGTTGGAAGCACCGCTGCGAGCATGGAAGGGTGATCCGACGGCGGCCTTTTCGAATGCTTCGATTCTGGTCTTGACCGGAGACTGAAGCGAGAAGAGCTCGTTGTGCTTCTTGGAACCTTTTGCGGTTTGTGGCTTTTTGGCTACAGCTGGTTTCTTCGCCTTTGGGGGTGGTTTCTCAGGACTTTCCTCGATGTGGGAATTATCCTCGGTCATGATGCTGGCATTGTTTATCGCTCGCTGTTGGTCTTCGATCGGTTTCGGTTTGTCCAGCACAAAGGTGCTATTGCCTGGCCCCGGAAGCTGCCGGACATCGAATGTAGCATTGCCGGCATTTTCCGGAGATTTGATGTTGAAAGTGCCATTAACTGGAGACGGCATGACAAAGGTCCCATTGGACGTCGGAACCGAGAAGGTTCCATTTTTGTCCATGGTATAGGACTGATTCTTTTCGCCATTGGCAATCATCGGCATCGTACTCAAAGCGATGGCAACCGGACGCATGACGGTATCTCCATCCAAGGCATCTTCGTAAACGGACTTGTCAGAGTGGGCCGGGCTGTTCGTTTTGGGGGTTTCAACGGTTTTCGTCTTGTTGGCACTCTTGTTACCGTCGGTGGATAGTTTTTCCGATTTGATGTGAATCTGTGCCACCGGTTCTGGCTGGGTGGTCTTCTTCTTTCGGCCGCGATTGGAGCTTTTGGTCGAATTGAACGAAGTGGTGGATTCCGCTGACGAAACAGCCGAAGTTGAAGACGTCTCAGCTGCGTCCTTCTCGAGCTTGATTGCCACCGGGACCCCTTCCAAACCCTTGACCTTCGATTTGTCGACTTTTTTCGTGCGAGTTTTTGTTTTCAGGGCCGGCGGAGGTGGTGGCAACATAGGAGGTGGCATCTTTTCCGCATCCTCGTCATCAGAAAGAACTTCCACCTTCGTAATTGGCTTCGGTATAATAATGACAGACATTTCTCTCGATGAAGGTTCATCAATTTCCCTTTCCTTCTCGTTAGTGCTTCCAAATCCTTCATCATTAGACTTGCGTTTCTCCGAATCCTTCTCCTGCTCCTGCTGCTCAACCACACCGTTCATCGCATTGGCATCATTCTCCACATCCATATCCATCGGTTCCTCTATTTGCGGTTGCTCTTTCGCAATCTCCAACGAAATGCGTTCCTTTTTGATCGTTATGCTCGGTTGCCGGATTTTCGTCCCCAATTTCGGTTCCTTCAAATTCTGATTGGCCTTGACCCGAGCTGTACGGTGCGGGCGCCTCTCTTGTTGCGTTGTCTCCATCTCCTGGTTGCGTTCCTCAGCTACTGGCAGCGGCGGTGGCGGCTGAGCAACAGCAGCCATCTCCTCCACCAACGACCGTGCCTTTTCCCGTGACTTGTCCTGAAGGCTGTTCTTTTTATTACTCGGCTTGGGTGCACATATCGAACTATTGGACGACGTAGACGTTTCGTGCCCTCCGTCGTATGTAGAATCAAGCCTTTTCGGACGCTTTTTGCTCTGGACTGGCGTTCCAGTGGCGATCGATTGCGTGACATGTTCATCCAGTTTCCTGACGCTTTTCTAAAAAGACACATTTACAGAAAACCAATTACTAAACACGGCTCAACAAGCTTTCCGAAGCGCAGATGTCCTTCAAATTCCAATTGGAACGCAGACAGAAATGCAATTCACTGCAAGGGGCATAGCACCAGTCTACCAGTACATACCGTAAATTCCTCCTCCAGACGGGATTCCGCCGAAATCGTCTGCAGGATTATTTCATTAAATTTATGCAGCAAATCGTCCATCCTGCTGCTAACCGAAGAAAAACAGGATTTTCACAGAAATTTCACAAGACTCGAATAAATCCCGCAGCGATGGAAAAAAAAGCGTTAAACCATAACAGCAACAGCAACAACAGTCCCCGCGTTTCACGCACTATGTTCATGCACAACAATGCAAATTCAATTATGTTTCACTTGCTCGGATGTTACTTATCGAAATGAGTGCAAATGCAATCGCGATCAGCCGGATTGATACGCAGAAAACAGGATAATATTAAAAATGCAACTTGGACGGCAGATACAAAACTTTTCCAACGGTGAACGAGCGAACAACGACCGAAAAAAGGTGCCGAACGAGGGAACGATCGGTGGTCGGTCGAGCTCCGCTGAACCGAAATTCGCCGATCGGCGCGGTCGATTTGAATTATCGGGTCCGGTGAAAAATAAATGTGAGTTGTTGATGAGCAGAAATGTTTCGTATAATTCAAACCGGATAATCGTGAACTATTTTTTTAAACATCCGCAACTCTTTAATAGCCTTCTTAGACCGAGTATTATAAATACCCACGAGAAAACTGATGATAATGAAATAATATATATTCAAGCATAACTTTTCAAAAGGACGTATGTAACATTGGATAGGAAATTAGAAACATTGGAAAGCAATGTCTATATGAGATTATTAAATGCTATTTAAAAGTTAATGCTATTTTTTTAAATCTGTTTGTGCTATTAGTTGGATAAAGGGATAGCGTTTAAGAGAATTGTGAAAAATGTCGAGTTTTGCAAACACGGACAAGACTTTTGATAAAACAAAATCATACACCTTTTACTTGTGTACTACTCACATACACCCTGATTGATTCGTCGGTATCACACCTTGATTGTTACATACACCCTGCATGATTCGTCTATTTGACAGAAGGGTTTTCACATACGTCAAATTAGATACACCGGTTTTTGTTTTGCAGTGAAGATACGTCGGCAGCTCGAAAAGCATTGAGGAATTGTCGTTTGGTTGGTTTATTTACATAACTACCCAGAGTTGTGAAATAATCGATGTTAAATGCGGAGATGAGAGGGTCAGTCAGATGTTATACGTTTTGTGTTTTTCGTGTTAAGAAAGCGATGGTCAGATTGGTATGTGAAGTTCAATATAAATAATAAACATGTTGCTCCCGGAAATCCAAAAACAAACATACAAACTTGACGCATTTGCTGATTGATAGTGGTTGCTTTGTTTTTTCACATACGACGCTTCACTGTGAGCGTATCTGCCGAGGTATCTGCAGTTTTTGTGTTATCATCAAATTTTAACAGTTAAATCATATGGACAATAAAAGCAACAATCAATACGAAACTAACGATTTTAAATTGGCTCACCACTTTAGTAGCCTATTGGTCCCAAGCAAACGATTAACGTACCCTATTCTAGTTGAAATTCTATTACTACACTATGTTTGTTTTGATTCGCTATGAAAGTTTGACAGATAAAATGAGGGGTTATCGGTTTTTCCTATGTTTCGAGGGGTGAATCGTTTAGCTTGGGACCGAAGAGAGTACCAGAGCTGAGCCAAAAAGTTGAGCACGTTATTTCGGGACCTTCTAGTCTTAGAGTTACCTCTATGATAAAAGGGTGTATCAACACCATTTTAAAAACAATGAAAGAAGGTCACATGGGCGTTCATTAAATATATTTTCCATAATTCATTACAATTTCAAACCTTGTTTTTCATTAACTCGTATGAAAAGCATGTATTTTATATTCGGTTAGATGCAAAATATCGATTTGTTTATTTTTGCGACTTACGTCCTTTTGAAAAGTTATGCTTGAATATAATATCAAGCATAACTTTTCAAAAGGACGTATGTAACATCGACTAGTAAATTAGAAACATTTGGATAGCAATGTCTATATGAGATTATTAAATGCTATTTAAAAGTTAATGCTATTTTTTTTAAATCTGTTTGTGCTATTAGTTGCATAAAGGGATTGCGTTTAAGAGAATTGTGAAAAATTTCTAGTTTTGCAAACACGGACAATACTTTTGATAAAACAAAATCATACACCTTTTACTTGTGTACACCCTGATTGATTCGTCGGTATCACACCTTGATTGTTACAAACACCCTGCATGATTCGTCTATTTGACAGAAGGGTTTTCACATACGTCAAATCAGATACACCGGTTTTTGTTTTGCAGTGGAGACATAGAGGTAACTCTAAGACTAGAAGGTCCCAAAATAACGTGCTCAACTTTTTGGCTCAGCTCTGGTACTCTCTTCGGTCCCAAGCTAATCGATTCACCCCTCGAAACATAGGAAAAACCAACAACCCCTAATTTTATCTGTCAAACTTTCATAGCGAATCAAAACAAACATTGCGTAGTACTAGAATTTCGACTAGAATGAGATACGTTAATCGTTTGCTTAGGACCAATAGGCTAGTCAAGTAGTGAGCCAATTTAAAATCGTTAGTTTCGTATTGATTGTTGGTGGAGATACGTCGGCAGCTCGAAAAGCGAGGAATTGTCGGTTGGTTGATTTACTTACATAACTAAACAGAGTTGTGAAATAATCGATGTTAAAAGCGGAGATGAGAGGGTCACCGCATTATCTGCTGTCAGATGTTATACGTTTTGTGTTTTTCGTATTAAGAAAGCGCTGGTCAGATTGGTATGTGAAGTTCAATATTAAAGTCAAGATTAAAGTGCAATTTTATTAGAATACTTTTGAAATAATAAACATGTTGCTCCCGGAAATACAAAAACAAACATACAAACTTGACGCATTTGCTGATTGATAGTGGTTGCTTTGTTTTTTCACATACGACGCTTCACTGTGATCGTATCTGCAGTTTTTGTGTCTTGTGTCTGTGCTTATTGTGTTTCATGTGTGTTTTTGGGTGCTGGAAGGTGTTTCTACACTGTAACTGGAAAGTACCCATTAATGGGTGAAAAAGTGCCCATTTCGAAGTAAAGTAGGTAAACTCATTTAATGGGTAAAACGTCTTTACCCATTAATGGGTAAAGATCTTGTACGTCAAATCATGGGGTACTTTTTTACCCATTTTTAAATAATAATTGGCTTTATAAAATGGGTACAAAGTACCCAATTTTGAAATCCTTAAACCAGGATTTTTCTTTTAGAATTTGTATGATTTATGGATCATTGAAAGAGCCACAATGAATAGTTAAGAATACAAAACGTTATTTATATTTATATCTTTATTTCACCATTTTCCATCCAGTGGTCTTTCCATCGTTCGTGCAAGAAATGGTGCTCCCAAAGCTCTCCTGGGATCTCCTTGCTGATCCGGCTAGTTCTGTCCCTGCAAGTTTCAGATTGATGTTTAGATGTGGGCAGAAAGAAATAAAATAAGAAATACCTACTTTTCAAACGAGCAATTTCCATTCGACATCGTTAAGACACTTTGCGACTGAAGCGAGGACTGGAAGATGTTATCTAAGTTGCTTTTCACCCATTAATGAGTAAAAAAGTACTCATTATTCTCGCCCGAAGCGCTCTGAGAAATGGGTAAAAGAGTACCCATTATTTGAAATTGAACTTCACCCATTATTTGACAGCCTCATATAGTCATCAAAAATGGGTCCTTTTTTACCCATTAATGGGTACATGGCAGTTGCAGTGTAGGTGTTTCATCCTATTGACCGAGCTGTCAAAACTACAACCGAAGAAATATATTTACTGGCAACCATATCCTCAACCATAACATAAAGCTGATAATGACAGATCCTCCTGCGGCTCCTTTTTATTTGTTTGTGTGCAGATTTGTCTTTGAAACGGGCATTGGCCCTCTCACTGCAGGAGGAAGACAAAATAGGTGCCTAAAAATAATATTATTGCGTCCTCCTAATAAACAAATACCATACACAGAAAAACAAAACTACCCACCGCTTGAGTTTTTTAAACTCAAATTTGAGTTATTTGACCTCTGCCCGTTTCATTTCCTCTCGCTATTGTTGTCAAAAATAGAACGAAAGATTCGACTCAACCGTCTAGTTCCGTACGAGAAGCCAAAATTGAGTAATATGCGATTTACCCAAATTTGAGTTAATTGAACTTAATTTTGGGTAGAAAAAATTGAAAATAACTTAGCGATGGGTAATTTTTTTTGCCGTGCTTAAATGCAAACTACTTTGAGCCGGTTTACCCAAATTTGGCTTATCGTACGGAACATGGGAGATGAGTGAAAAGAACTTAATTTTGGGTTGTTTTGAATTTCTGTGTAAACGAACAATAACCCCAACAGTCCAATAACCATAACAAATGTATTAGGGCCAGGGAACGGTCGGACACAAGATTCTCGGTGAAGCGAAAAAGTTGGAGTTCGAGAATCGACAGGTGGTTGAATTTAAGATGTCGATCGAATACATGAGTTTCAGTGCTAATGCAGATCCAGTAGTGTGAACCCAAGAACGTAATTTTGGTCGAAGCAAAAGATAAAAGAAAAGTTCCACATCGGCCAGCGAATGCTAAAGGATGAAGCTAAAAAGAACAATGCCGAGCCATCAGATCCGAAGCGTAGACGCGTCATCCATGATGAAGGATAACAAAATCTTGCTGATGAGCATCGATGAAATCTTCAACGAATATGGAATCAATCGTCATGTTATAAGGTAAACTTTATGCCATTTAATCATGACATTCAAGCGTGACTTAATCCTGTTTTTAATGCTTGTTTCAGATTCATTTTGAATGTGAAAATTGACTATTCGGGACCAACCCAACAGTTGAGAAGCTGTAAAATACGTTTTGATGAATGAGAATGGCTCGATCAAAGTGGAATCGGTGAATATCAAGATCGAAGGCGACGATCCGATATCCGTACCACTGGGATCGGCTTCCGTTGCACCACCACCACCAGACATTTCAACGAAGCATACAATTAATAGCGTTTCTTTGGTCAACCAAGATGAAGATTTAGCCGTACTTACCGACAAAACATTGTTGACTTTTCTAACCATTTTAAATTTAATAATGAAGCCTAATAAAGCTGGGAACTCGGCTGAGAGTAACTGGAAGATTTTTTTCAGTAACAGTTAATCATTAAAAGTTTTCACCACAACTAAACATTTTATTCTTTACTTTTTTTTTTTTTTAATAATTCGTTTATTTTTCCAGGCTCATTTGCTGTAGCTTTGCGGAGCCGATATTCATTGTTTAGATAACAAAATTACTTAAAACTAACGTTAGTAAAGCGGGGGCCGATTACTCGCGGCTATCTCGAGGTTAGGGGTAACAAATTGTAACAAATGGATGGCAGGGTAGGGATTGTGAACACAAGGTTTGGAGAGCAATGTGCTCTTGATCTC